CCCCCTTCCTAGTCTATTAATAACAAAACGAATTTTTCCAATGTATAAAATCAAAATTCCAATGGCTTTGGCTACTCTAACCTTCCCGACCACGATTTTTTTTTTAGGTATTTCACTGCGAAATAAGACAGAACTAAGAAATTGTATTTTCCTAGGTATCAAAAATATAGTAAATAAAAGAAATAAAAAAAGAAATAGTGGGTTCCTTCGTTTCTATGGTTACTTCTTAAACGGTGAGGTCTTCTCTATACACCGGAGCCTTTACTTTATACTTTAATTTACTATTTAATCAACTAATTGATGTTATTGGGAACTTGTATAGTTCACACGCTTTGGCTCTACCCATGAATTATCCAGTAATAGGTCTTTCACAATCAGATCTACCTATACAGTAACGGTATTTAATTATGAAAGTTTGCTGGGTAGCTGACCCTCTTAGTCCGTTTAAATAAGATTTCCTCCGCTTAATGGATAACCATTTGTTACCAATGGAGAATTTCTTATCATCTTAAATTCAGGTGATTGGATTTACACCAACGGAAACCATAAACTTCATACACAATAGAGGGATATGGTAGAGTTTTTTTTTTTTAATAATGGATGGAGTTCCTTTTTCCATCCTATCCCATTCACCGGTACTGATCATTGATACTGTAAAAGTAGTTTTCTTGCTTTTGTGCCAGCTCATGATCTAAACGAGTCGCACATACACCCTAGTACATGTTCCTCGACGCTGAGGGCACCCCCGAAGAGCGGGGGATTTCGTGACATTTCTGATTGGCTGTCTTGTATTTCTAATAAGTTGTTTAATAGTTGGCATGTTGAATCGTATACATAATATGATGGGTTGGTTTAGATTGATCCTAACCGAATGATGGTGAATTACTTCTATTTAATAGAATATTCAATTCGAAGATAAAATCTCAAATCACAGATTTGCGCGAAATCCATGTTATTTTCCTTGAACCGCTACAAAATCAACAATTCCATAAGCTTGGGCTTCTGTTGCTGACATAAAAATATCTCTTTCCATATCTTCGTGTACAACCCAGAAGGGTTTGCCCGTTCTTTCTGCATAAACCCTTGTGAGGGTTTCACGCAGTTTCATCAGTTCTACCGCTTCCATGACAAATTCGCCTACTTGTGCCATATAAAAAGCACTATAAGGTTCATGTATCATTACCCTGATGATATAACAAAATAAAAGCTTCCCCTATCTCGCATGATAAAGCAAAGAGAAAAGAAAGATAAAGAATAGAAAAAAGATAGAATTGAACAACCGTACAGGCATCTTTTGTGCATACGGCTCTACAAGAAAATTGACCCCCCTCCTTTCTATTGAAGAAAGAGAAAATAGAATCTATCAGACTCAGATGGGTAAATAATCAAATTGCCATCCTTCCTTTCGGAGGAGTTCAAAAATACTATGATGGCTCCGTTGCTTTATATGTTTATTTTTTCTTTTTTTTGTCTGTGATTCAGCAATCCCAAAGTTTCTTTTTAATCCGATCAAATAAGGAAAAAATCTTTTTTTTTTCGTACTCTTTCATAACATAAATATTGTTAAGAACTCTCCGGCATGAAAACAAATAAGTTTGTGACGCTGAACTGAATTCCCGATAGATAAGAGAAAATCGGAAATACCCCTTATCTCATACTACTCTCTCGATACAGAATCTAATGTTTTGAAAAAAATACAAAAATTTCTCATATCGAATTCGAAGTGCCATGCTATTATTACTTAGTATTCATATGGCGAAGGCATAGTCTTCTTTTTTCTCTCAAATAAAAACCTCATTGGCGCCAAGCGTGAGGGAATGCTATACGTTTGGTAAGTTGTCCTCCGGCCAGGATAAAAGATCCCATTGAAGCAGCTAATCCTATGCATATTGTATGGATATCTGGTCGCACAAATTGCATAGTATCATAAATGGCGATCCCAGGTATTACCCAGCCCCCAGGAGAGTTTACAAACAAATATAGCTCTTTGTTCTCATCCTCCATACTGAGATACATCATAAGACCAATAAGTTGATTCGAAAGATCGGTACTAATCCCTTGGCCTAAAAAAAGTAATCTTTCTCGATAAAGTCGGTTGATTAGGGTAAAATTGTATCCCTTAGGAACCGTACATGCGCCTTTTGATGCATACGGTTCAAAAAAATTGTGAATCAATGTATAGATTCCAGTCCTCTTTCTTTTTTTCTACAAGGGCTCTTTCTTACTTCTAACGAAAGGGCTTTTCTTCGATTTTTCAATAAAGACGAGTTTTTACTCCTTTTTGATATTTTCGATTTTCCATTATAAAATTCGAAGTTATAAGAAAGGGTCATTAAACTTATCGAATTAACTTCTCATTGATGTATTCTTTCATCGAGATTTAATCCAAACCGCGATGGTATTTTCTTGTTCCTGAATGGGTCTGTTTCATCTTTTTAGGTTTATGCTCTACTCCGGGTAAAGATCCGCCCGATTTGGATTTGTACATATAGGACAAATG